GATGGTGGATGTTCTCATATTTGCAAAGGCTAGCTAGTTCGTACAGCACTCCTGTTGGATCTCAATCAGGGGGCTGGGAATGGCCAATTTCGAGCTCCCTGTCGGATCTCAAACTGAGGGAAAACCTCTGCTGCTTAGGCCATGGAGGATGGACGATGAAATTGGCAAGATATAAGTCCAATTCCTACCCAGTGTGGATTTAGCCTTCCAGCTTTCAGGCTTAATCTTTGGACTCAATAGGAATTAGTAAGGTGGCTAGTCTAGCGGGATTTCACGTAACAACTGATTATCTTACCACTTCTAAACGAAGGCTAGTAGTCTATGCTAGGGTTCTAGTAGAGGTGGATGTCCCTGTTAGTCTAAGGGATGTACACCCAAAGCTGGAATCAAACAAATTGTTGGATAGCAGGTTTTCTAATCTGTTTTGGTAATAGGATTCTTAATCTGTTTTGGTAATAGATTATTAGGATTCCTAGTCTGTTTTATTTTTTGGTTTTAGAATTTCTAGTCTGTTTTGGTTTTAGGTTTTCTATATATATGGAACGCCTTAGAAGAGATTAGACATCATAAAAGGGTTTTCAGAGAATTCTTCAGAGATATCTCAGAGAGATTAGATCCTATTTATGAGTATTGTAATCATCTTCAATATTAATCAAAGAATTGTATGGTGTGGCTCCCGAGGACTTAGGCACGATTGCCGAACCTCGTTAAATCTGGTGTGTTCTTTCTTGTTTACTTTCATACAAGTTTTTTATCTTTTGTTTATTGTGATTTTTTCTACTTTTGTACTCTCAAACACAAGGTTCGGAAGGGCAATGTTTCGATTTGATTGTTTAGAATGCCCAACAACTGGTATCAGAGCTTCGTTCAGAAAGATTGTGAAAGAGTTATAACAAAGGAAAGCAAATCTAAGATCGAGAAGTTTGACGGTTCAGACTTCGCCTACCGGAAGTCACAGATGGAGGACTATCTGTACCAGAAGGAGTTGTATCGCACATTGATGGGCAAGGCTAAGGGAAAGAAGAAAGAAGAATCAGATGAGGATTGGGAGATACTGGATAAGAAGGCTCTAGGCAAATCCGGTTGTCACTCGTCAAGACAGTCGCACACAACATATTGAAGGAGAAGATGACGGTGGGGCTTATGGAAGCAATCGCGAAGATGTACGAGTAACCGTCTTCCGCAAACAAGCTGCATCTCATCAAGATACTTTTTAATCTCAAGATGGCAGAAGGATGCCAGATAGTTAGGCAACTCATCTCCGTAGACATCATGTTCGATGACAAAGTGCATACCCTATTGATTCTATCGTAGTTGTCGGGTAGTTGGGCAGGTTGTGTGACGGCAATCAGTAATTCGGTGAGGAAGGACAAGTTGAAGTTGAGCGAGGTTGTTAGTATGATTCTATCCGAGGAGGTTAGAAGGAAATCGTCCGAATCAGAAGGTTCAGGTTCAGCCCTAAATTTCGAGCAAAGAGACAGTAGCCAGATGAAGAAGAATCAGAACAGGAATCGTTCGAAATCAAACAAGAAGAGGCCAAATTCGAAAGTTAGGCATATCAAAGGGAAGTGTTGGAACTACGGTCAGGAGGGTCATATGTCTTCAGCTTGTAAAGCACAAAAGAAGGATGCGAATGAACAGGAGGCTCATATCGGGCAGGATGCCTTGATCCTAGCTATGGACAACGATTCTGATATCTTGGCCATTAACTCAGGAGCCTCATTTCACGCCACTGCTAATAGGAAGCTTCTTCATAACTATATAGCAGGGGACTTTGGGAAAGCATACTTAGAGGATAAGGAACCATGTAGTGTTATTGGAAGAGGCACTACTGCAAAGGGGACTATTGGCGACGGAAAATTCCGTCGCCAAAAGTCCAAAATCCGTCGCTAAAAGTTTTAGCGACGGAAAAAAAGAAATTCCGTCGCTAAAAATCCGTCACTATTGTCAGGGTAGGTAAATCTACCTTTAGCGACGGCAAATCCGTCGCTAATTTATAGCGACGGATATATAGCGACGGAAAATCCGTCGCCAAAAAAAAATTTTTTGGCGACAGATTTTCCGTCGCCAAAATAAACCTTTGGCGACGGATATATAGCGACGGAAAATCCGTTGCTATATAATTTTCCGTCGCCAATACTTATTGGCGACGGAAAATCCGTTGCTAAAAGTTGTTTAGTGCACATCTGGCGTGTCAGTTTTCCGTCGCTAAAAGAGCTTTTAGCGACGGAATATCCGTCGCTAAAAATAATCTAAAATTTTTTAAATTTTTTTTTGAAAATAAGAAATTCCTGTACAATATATTTCACAACAATAACCTGTACAATAAATTTACCCAACACAAGCTCATATAACACATATTTCACGTATATATAACAATTATTTCACTAAAAACATAATAAATATCCCAACATTAGAAATGTTTATACAGCACACCCATTGTTTTTAATGTTAAAACAAATAAACTCAGTCCCGATCATCATCATCCTCATCCTCATCACCAACTCCACCTTGTCGAGAAGTCCCAGCCTAAAAAAATAAATAAAACGTTATAGAGCAATACGTACATCATCAAAAACTGAATTTTACAGTAAAGTAACAAATTGTAAAACAACAAGGCATAACATGCAAGTATAGCAATAATAGAGTATCATGGCATATTCTTACATGTTATATGATTCAGAGAGAGTATCATGGCATATATTTATGTATTATACGCAAGCACGCACATGTTTTTAACAACGCACGCACCCGTACCTATCTCCGCCGACACGCACACACGCACGCACGAGTACCCAGCTCAACCCAATCCCCACACTTCCCCCTCCCCCACCACGACCAAACCCAACATCAAGCACGCACATAACGATCACGACAATACAACACATGCAACACCACAACACAACAATAACAACACCACCACCACTACAATAACAATCCCCCACCCACGAACCAACCAAACTCCTACCCCCCACCCCCTCCCCCTCCATCATCATCACCACCACCACCACCACCACGACGAAAACACCCACCAACCAACAACATAACCAACGACCCTACACACGAACGCCCCACAACAAAACAAAATAACAACTAACTAACCAACTCACTATCCAATACAACCATCGCTACGCATGCACGCACCATCAACACCACCATCACATAAAAACATTAAGTATATAATTTTAGTTGTGTTTCGGAGAGAGATATAGTTTGTGTGTAACAGTTTGTGTGATATCATTTAGTCACATGGCATACTCGTAACTAAGTAAGAATTTTATATTTAATTCATTTAATTAAAAAAGAAATATACATATATATATATATTACCTGATCCGCCAAAAACCGTCTCCTATATGCCTCCTGAGCATCAGAAGGTAGAGTCGATATGAACTGGGTGAATTCCAGCTCCCTCTGCTCCCGGCGCCTCCGTTCTTCCTCCGCCATCTGGAGTATCTCCGACTCCCGACGAGACTGCCAATCTTCCATCGCTTTCATCCGCTGCTCCATAGTCGGGTCTTGAGAAGAACTGCATCCTGGTGGAGCTGCAGACTCGTAGGTGCTACTGGACTCGTACGGCCGATGCTCGGATCCTCTCCACCTGTATCTGTTCTTCCTACTCGGTCCAATGACCGTCTCGATGATGCTATCCTCCTCCTCTCTACTTAATCGGGTCGGAGTGTTAGAATCGACCTGAGTCTGTGATAATTGCTCCTGCACCTTAGCATGTAATTTCTCCTACGATATACTGCATTGTAATAAAAATTAAATATACAAATTAACTGCTACTTACAGCCAGATCCCGGTTCTGCGCTTTCTTCACTTCATCGGCGTAATTTGGTCTCCAACCAGTCAGAATACGATCTGCAAAATGCCCGAGTTCTCCCCTTCCCTATTTTATTCACATATATCATTAACTCATAACACATAAATTATACTCAAATTGATAACCTAAGAGCTAATATATTATATACCTCAAGCGCCAATTGATGATAATGCTGGCTGAAGGACCTGGAGCCCCCGTGATGCTCGTAACTGCGGGGCGCATTGCGGTTCCTCCTTGCTATTTCAGCTTGTTCCTGCAAAAGAATGTTAAACAGATATAATATAGAATTTCAAACAATAAACGAAGATATATACTTCAATAATACCTGAGCTTCGGCCGTGTCCCAATAATCGCAAAGTGCAAAAAAATCAACTCCATCGGCGCGCTCGTCAAGATGCCAGTAACGCTCCCAATCTTCTGTTCTTTGAGTAAAATATTTTTTCTTCAGCTCTGACCGCCACCTCTTGAACGATAGATTGATTTGCGTGAAACAGTAAGTCCAGGCACAAGCGTAATCGTCAAGAAAGAAAAATCGCTTCAGCATACAATGAAAAAAGAGATACAAATCAGTGTGTTAAACAAAATAATAAAATGACTAATAATTATGAGAATTAAAATAAATGACTCACACATATATATCGCCAACAAGCCACCAGCGCATCAATCCGCTGCGACTTCCACGTCAAATATATGTTGAAGAAATCATGTCTCCTGGCTAAAGCGGCGAGGAAATTGTTGAAAGAGTTAGCAAATGGCCCGACAGGCACGCCGTTCTCCCATCGGATCACGGCCCTCCGACGAATATCTGGGACGAGGTTCTGTGGCTTGGTACTACTGCGGCCGCGCCTAGTAGGTCGCTCGGTACCTACGAAAAAATGAAATTCAGGCGAAATATAAATCAATCAATATCGATAATACAAATTAAAATATTAACATATAAACTATAAAAATCTATACACACCTTTCAATTCGAGGCATCTACGCCTTGCTTGTTCATACCTCTGCTGTGCGATAAGTCGCAAATCATGATAAGCATCCCAATCCTCCTTCACCTTGGCCGGGTCGTGGGCTCGCTGATCCGGAATAGAATCCGGCGGTAGTGGCGCAGCTTCTACAGCTGCGCTATATGGCTCATATCGGCGCTCCTCCAATACATCTGCAGCCTGAGGAGGCGACGGCGGCATCTCTGCATGCTGGGCAGGATCAACGAGTGTCTCCGCATCAGGTGGAGCATCTCCTCGTCCTGTGTCCTGTGGCGGCCCGTCATGTGTAGCAGCGATGCGGCCTGCGTAGGAAATGTGAAAAAATAATGTTAGGCTCGTATTAATAGTTTATAGAAATGTACAGATATAATAAATAAATAAAAATACCTGACGTAGAGCCATGTGCGTCGCCTCCAGAATGTCTACCAATAAGTCTCTCAAGCGCTCTCTTACGTAATCCTTTTGTCATCTATACTTTGAAAACATAATGAGTACCCAACAAAACTATAATACATGACAAAAACTGATACATGATAACCAGTCAAACAGATAATATAAATGCAATACTATAATACATAACACAAACTGATACATGATAACCAGTCAAACAGATAATATAAAGACAATACTATAATACATGACAAAAACTGATACATGATAACCAGTCAAACAGATAATATAAAGGCAATACTATAATACATGACAAAAACTGATACATGATAACCAGTCAAACAGATAATATAAAGGCAATACTATACTACATAACACAAACTGATACATGTCCTTATGATGATGTTGAGGCTCTACTCTGCGACCGTGTGCGGTTAGCCTGCGACCGTGTGCGTGCAGACAAAAGGACTGTCCTTATAGTTTTATCGACTCTACCGTGGACTCGTTTTTTGATTTTACGCCTTGGCTCACATATAATCGCAGGTACATCAGGGCGCGCCAGTGCAATTTCATCCACCAGATTATTTTGTGTCAAGGAAAACTCAGCAACTGTTTCGTCGGCCAAGATAACATCTTCATGATCTTCGTCAGACACGGCTTCATGAATGTAGGATCTAGGCGGATTCTTAAGGACAACCCATTCGTCATTTTTCATTATATCTTTGACATAAAAGCACTGTTTTGCGTGAGCAGCTAACATGTACTTTTCAGTCTGATATATTTCCTTGTTAAGATTAACGAGTGTGTAACCGTAGTCATCCTTCGCCTTTTTCAGCTCACTCCAACGAACCTTAAACATCACATGTCTGACTTCATTATTAATCCCATAGAAAATCTCCACAATGTCTTCTACCTGACCGTAGCAATAGATTTCACCTTGTATCGGATTTAGATCTTTTGAACTAGCGTATGACAGTTGCGAGAAGGAGCAGAACACACCGCTATTTTGCGTTTGTCGTCTCTCTTCGAAACCGATGGTGTTAAACCTAAAGCCGTTGATACAGTAGCCTCCATAACGCTTAACCACGTTAGAAGGACCTCTGGCATATAAACATATTTTCTCAGGCAGGTTAACCCCATTCGTAATACGTCGGTCAACCTTTAAGAAAAGAAACAAATAGTTTAAATATCTGTTGGCAGGCACATATTTGATATACGAATCAGAAATGTAAATAAATCTTACTTCACCCTTCAGCCATGCAGGGAATTGTCTAGAGTGTGTGTCCATAACTCTTTTGTTTTTTGTTCTGCATTTAAGAATAGTCTGGACATATCGGATGTGAAGCCTAGAATAAAATCATTTACAACAGTTAAATAGAGATAGTTATTGTGATGTGATATGATCTGATTCAAACAGTTAAATACTTACGTCGCGTATATGTTAAATGTAGTATCATTGCTCAAGATATATGTGTGGGCTTGATCTAGCTCCATTCTGGGGAATCTAGTGTCCTCCCCACGATCATTATAGAATGTTCCGTCAATTATTCGTTGGGGACGGTTGAGCCTTGTCTCCACACCCCGCAAGTAACGAGAGATGAAATTCAAACTCTCATTACTTATATAGTTCTCTGCTATCGATCCTTCAGGACGTGCACGATTATGCATCAAATGTTTCATGAAACCCAAATACCTACAAGCATATAGTTTCATGATTTGTGACAAAATAAAACTGATATACGTAATTTAACAAATATTAATTGAGCATTATAATAATAAATACCTCTCCACAGGGTACATCCAGCGATATTGAACTGGTCCTGCGATGCGGGCTTCATATGCTAAATGTATTGTGAGATGCACCATGACCGTAAAGAACGAGGGTGGAAATAGAATTTCCATTTTACACAGTGTATTGGCTACACGTCCCTCTAATTCTTCAAACTCCCTGACATCAATCACCTTGGAGCACAACTGCTTGAAGAAACCGCAATATTCTATTACCACCATCGCGAGTTCCTTCTCAGCATGTCGCAACGCAACCGGGAGAAGTTGATGCAATAGAATATGATGGTCATGTGTCTTGAGTCCCAAAATTTTCCTGTCCTCAATATGCACATTTGCTGAAATGTTTGAAGCATAACCATCCGGTGTCTTCACGGACTTTAGAAATAAACACATATTATGGATCTCATCCTTCGACAGTGTGACACGGGAGGCTGGGAGTACAAACTTTCCGTCACCCTTATCTATAGCTTGCAGTTCGGGACGGATGTTCAATTCTGCTAGGTCTCGACGTGCCCTTAAGTCATCTTTTGATTTTTTCCCGTCCTGCAACAAAGTGTTCAAGAGATTCTCGCATATGTTCTTCTCGATGTGCATGACATCCAAGTTGTGACGTATTTTTAAACTTCTCCAATATGGCAATTGATAAAATATGCTGAATTTTGACCATCCATGCGGAAGTTCAGTACCCTTAGAGACACGCACATGCGATTGGACAGTGCGAGGTTTATTTCCCATCCTTGTTTGCTTACCCTTTCCCCTTCCCTTCCAATTTTGCTTCAATATTTTTCTCCTAACCCCAAATGGATTTTCTTTGTTGAATCTTTTCTTTCCAAATATTTTTTTAGGTAGAGGATGTAGAAGCTCAAATATTTCTTCCCCGGTCAGCCTTGGTGGTGCCGGTCTGTTTTCTGGATTGCCGTCGAACTTTCCTACTAACTTTCTGAACTTGTGCCCTGTAGGTAACCATCTTCTGTGTTGCCAATAACAGAACTTGCGGCTGTATTTCAGGAACTTTCCCTCATAATCTGACATGCAAACCGGACAAGCAATCTGACCCTTCGTCGACCATCCAGACAAGTTAGCATATGCTGGAAAGTCATTAATTGTCCACATGACCATTGCACGCATACGGAAAGCCTCCTTACCATAAGCATCGTAAGTGCTGACGCCTTCATCCCAGAGAAGCTTCAAGTCGTCAATTAATGGTTGGAGGAAAACATCAATGTCATTTCCAGGAGAATATCTTCCAGGGATCAAGAGTGACAGTATCATGTATGGCTGCTTCATGCACATCGACGGCGGCAGGTTGTACGGTGTCAGCAACACTGGCCAGGTAGACCAAGCAGAGCTCATTACTCCAAACGGATTAAATCCGTCGCTAGCAAGCCCCAGCCTAATATTCCGAGACTCCTTACCAA